ATGCCTCATCCAGAAGCTAATTCTTCACCTACTTCAATCCAGTTCAAACCCAGTTTCCATTTTATTATCATATTAAGAATTTTTATTTTAATTTTGCATCATTTTTGCTACTATGGCATTTCAAACATTAAAGCTGTTAATTTGAGGGGAAGTTGAAGAGCCTGTAGGCAGCCTTTTTGGATTTTCTATCAGCTTTTCTCAGATTTTCTCTTTGCTTATTCAACCACCAAACTTTTTCTCCAGAGAACATTTTGGCTTGTCTGGGTATTCTACCAGGCTTTGTCTATTCTTATTATTCAGATTAAATTAATTTGCTTTTTACAATTAAAATAATAATTTAGAAAAGGTTTAGGTGAATGTAAGATTATCTTTGACCAGTTTTGTACATTTTTCCACCCTTTGTGGAAATGACTTGGGCGTTCAGTTATTTATTTATTTTTTTTACTTGTTGACATTAACTGTTATTTCAACCTGAAACACAGTTTAATAAAAATCATTGACGTCTTAATCTCAATATTTGTTGAGAAAAAAACAACCAGCAGATTCAAGCAGCTGACAGGCTGCAGTATTTCTCCATATGAACTCGTTGATCAAAGCTCGTGATGCCAGAATGTTGTCATGAATGAATGGTTTCCTAAATTGATATTGATTATTCTGTCAGTCTGTATGAAGCATTCATTAAGTAGTAGTAGCTTTTGAAGATTTTATTAAGTCGTTTTTGACACTTGTTTGTAAGAGAAACAGTAGAGAAGTGGTTGCACGCAAAATAAAAACGTTATAAAATGACTTAATGTTTCAGATTATGCCCTTAAATCTATGCACACCTGGCAAAAGTGCAAATTTTAACAATTTTTCCATGGTTTCTGACAAAGCAAATAAAGAAGCTTTCTCTTCGTTCATATCAATGCGCTATATGTTTTTGGTTTTAATTTGAGTATTACTGAAAAGACTAACAGATTATAATACACAACAAAATTCTAAGTGCCTTTATATTTTTGTTTTATTGTGTTTGAATACTCAAATATGAATAATATTGCATTTTGTTTAACAACCTTTTCTTTTCTAAATCTACTCAGTTGTCAAATTAATAACTACCTCATTAAAAAATATATATAATTTATTAGGAAATTATTTCTTTCTCCACACAGTGTTTATCTTATCAGAAAGAACTGGTTCAGTTTCATCAACCAAGATTAATTATTCTGGTGTCTTTTTTGGTACTAGGTTCCCCATAGTCATCAAAATTTTTCAGATATGATGACGAAAATAAGCTTTCAAGGATAATAATGTACATTGAAAAAATAAATCATTTCCATTAAATTCTGAGATTTCATGTATTTTGTACATGTACAAGGCCTTTTTGCAGTGCAACTAGTTTTCACTTTGGCCTCATCTTTATTTAATAATTAATGACATAGTAAAATCTGTGACGTGTGGGTTTGTACATTCAAGGTTGGCTTTAAATAATTATGTAACCTTGTATGCCAGCTCATTTATACTTTAAACCTGGGAACTCTAAGATAGCATCTGTTTTAGATTTGCTTTGTAACAGGTCAGAGTGGACTCCTGAGAAAATTATGCTTTGGGAAAGGAGACACCTACAACACCAACGGGAAATTAGGAGAAGTCAACATGCATATATTTGTGATGAGGCTGGGGTTCTTCAAAAGAATCTAAATGTGCCTGAAGAGGACATGCAGCCCTCAAGCAGAGTGCTCCTAGGAAGGGATTCGAACCCAGAACCTTCTGGACGCAAGGCAGCTATACAACTCAGGTGTATATGTGTGCTTTGCAAATAAATACACTTGAACCTTTCACATTTTGTCACATTAGCAACACAAAAATGAGAATTCTGCTCAAAGATCAATATAGCGTAGTGCACAACTGCAAAATGGTAAGAAATTAATTTTTTGTTTATTTTAGACTAAAAATGTGTTCTGTACATCAGTATTCAGCCCCTCTAAGTCAATATGTTTGAAGACCCTCTATGTTCCTACTAGCCTTGCAAACTAAGATACTAAGATTATTGCCCTTCACTAATCATAAAATGACAGAAGCTCATACAGGTTGGATACAGAGAATATTCTCAAACTGATTGCAAAAAAAAAAAAAAAAAAATTAGGGAATTTGAATTTTCAGTGCTAAAGTTATTTGCAGAGCCCATCAGAGAAGGACAACTTATCATCATTAAGCTACCACAAAGCATTAATCACAGAAGCAATATGTTTTTTTAATCAATATTCTGTAAACATGGCATAAAAATACAAATTGTGAGCCTAATTAACATTGGTCTTTGTCTGCTATTTTTGTTTGGTTTCTGACCTTTCATAGGGAATACAAAACCATTTAAAAAAAATTCAGTATTACCCATTAAAAACAGAAAGTCGTTGTTTTTTTTGTTTTTTTTTTTTGTTTTTTTTTATTGAGAATGTGTCTCCAAAACAGTTTAATACTCGCTGATTTATTGTCTTTGGACAGAGCTGAGTGGAATACATCCTTTAAAAAGATTGATGCTCTTTTACAGCTCTAGTGTCTCTGGTTTCTTGTAGCCCACTGGTGGATTATATGAACACAGTGCTTCTTCATATGAACACCAACCCGGTTGAATTCATTTATCACTCTTTTCTCTCACTTGCCTTGCAGCAATCAATCTGAGGAAACAGGACTTTTAGCCTCTCCTGCTCCTGTCTTATTTAGCGAGAGTTTCCAGCATCCAGCATGGCTGTCATGCTGTTCACTGTGTGACAGGAGAGTGAATAAGAATGAGGAAAGGAGATCAAGCTCCCCTTTAGTTCCTTTTCAGCCAACCCAGGGTCTCTACCTCTATTGCACCCAAGTGATTGGATTGGTTTCCTGCTGCAGAGGCAGACACTGAGGCCTGGAAGGCAGCAGGAACAAATGAGGTCAAATGTACCTATGAGTTAGCTCCAAACCAACAGGCGTGTCAAAGGTTTTTCCCCGTTTTCCCCCCTATTTTGATTCCCCATCTGTCTTGGATTTTCACATTTCCCACTGCCACTGACAGCCCAGCGAAAGCTGCTGGTCATCAGTGTTTCATTAGTGTCTGAGATAGACTGCGCCGTGCTTAATGAAATTCATCAAGGCCTTAGAGCAAACTTCTTTATCGACTGAGAACAAACTGGTAAACACGCTGATTGTGCTCTCTCAATTAACCGGCACTCTGTGCAGTCATGATCGACCACCTGAGCGAGTACATGAAGTCTGCTGCTACATTTTGCTTGAGGATGCAGACGCAGCAGCTTTCTCCTCTCAACAGGTCATCTTTCAGTAACCAAACCTTCAGCTCCTGCTGCTTGAGAAATAAGTGTCAAAGCGCATGTAAACACGCTGCTCACCTGACTCACACAGGCTCTGAGAAAAAACAAACCTGTATGCAGTCAATATGCATCAAGTAGAGGAAGAAAAACAGCTGAAACAAGTTCACTTAAAGTGTATAGAAACTACTTTATATTGCCAACATTTAACAGCTAATCAAATCCACACAAGAAAATCAACTGCTAACAAGCAGAAATGTCATGTGAGCATCATATATGTGGTGGTGACTTTCTGTTACAATGTGTCTTTAAGGTTTTTGCTTGAGAAAAAAAAAACTTCGAAAAATTTCAACAAAATCAGTTTGATCTTCTGTTGTTAGGCTTAAAAATGCCAAAAATACTAGTAGAACAACACAAGTTTACACACCCTGGTAGAATTTGGGTGTTCTTTTCATAGAAAATAAATATAAATGTTTCTTTTCTTTTATGAAACATGTTTATTTAAAGGTTTGCTCTTTTTGAATCATGTACTGCGCCTTTTTTCTTATTGTTCTAGAGTAAAAAAATTTAAAACACTTGACCCAGACAGAGAATAAATGAGTCCTCTGTTTTAATTTGTTGTCATAGGCACAAGTCTGCCTAATTTTAAGTGTAAGCACAAATATATCTTTAAAATCAAGGTGCTTTTAGTTATCTTATGACACCCATTTAGTTTTGCAGCCTTTGCCCTGACTAGAAGACATACAGACTGTCCTTCCTCACTTTTTACTTTAATCTCTTTACTGCCCATGAATTTGTAAAAAGTACTTATCCAATTTGAACTTTTTCTCATCTGTTATGTTAAGACAAAAATAAAGTGGCTGATAATGTGGAAGCAAAAGGGAAACAATGGACATAGAGTTTTAGAATTATTTGTTTTCTGGCTGTGCACATCCAGACACTCACTTTTGGATTTTGCCTGAACCATTTATGGCGCAGACATGGACCCATAGTTCCAAAGCACCCAACTGAACACCAAACTTTCCAAATATTAAAAATACTAAAATATTAAACATACTGAAATAGTATTTTAAAATAGTACCATAATAAAAGTCAGGGATTTTCACATCTTTTTTTGCTTTTCTTATTTAGCTTATTAACAACAAAAAAATATCTTTAAAGCTACAAACTTTCCTTGAGTTCTACCAAAGGAGGTCATCGTCCTGCTGAGTCATGGATAAGACTGTCTTGGTCTCAAGTCTTATCCAGATTTTCTTCCAGAGCTTTCCTTTATTCAAATCTGAGCAGCTCCCAAGTCCCTGCAGTAGAAAAGCTACAGCATGATGCTACCACCCCTATGTTTCCAGTCAAGATTGTTCTTTGCGATATTGCTGACAGTAATATTGCTTCAACAATGAACTTGCAATTTTTTCTCCAACTATAGTTTAGAGTTGTGCCATAGTCCCCCCATTATCAGAATAGGGATTAAACTATGGTTAGTGGTTGTTCAAGCTTGGGACACGTTTTTCTGCTTTAAAATTTTCCACACCTTTATCCCTGAATTTTCTGGTGCGCTATTTGGTCTTCATGATTGGTTTCTCTGAAGCCTCCAGAGAACAGCGCATTTATACTAAAGGTAGTTGAACTGGGTTTTATTTAGAGCACTCATAATAAAAGGGGAAGGCCTCAAAGGCATGCCACACTCAGGAGATTTTCTTTTTTTTTAATTTTTAATTTATTTATTTATTTATTTTATTTAGTTATTTTTTTCCACTTAAGTTGACAATTGAGTGTTAATTCTTGTTGGTCTGTCAGTTGGTATGTGTTTGTTTTGGTGCGTGACAGGAAACGGCGCTGACGTTTTACGGCAGCTTCGGTGCATTCTGGGTCTAACCCAACATGGCTGCGCCCTTGCTGAAGTGCTGAAGAAGTGCCTCTCCGGAGATATTCTCGGGTCTGTGTGTAGTTTTCAAGAAAACCTTCAAGCCAAATCAGCTTCTTGGGTCGCTGGTTTGCAGGACAACCCCGCGGGACCCCCGTCATTGATAAGTGTGGCCGTCTCTTCGCGTGGCTGTGGCAGACTGTCCGTGTGAAGATGGGCCTCGTCTCCAGCCCCGTCCCATAGCAAAGAGCCCCGGGGAGAGGAACCGCAGGTTCCCCTGCAAACACGCACCCGTCCAGCTCGCCTTTGACGGGTTCGACCTCCTGTACCGGCTTTGGACGCTCCCCTACAGTTTCCTGACAAGGATTATCTGCGCCACCGTGTCTGTCATCGTCCGGAGACGGAGAGCTTCTTCCCCATCCAGGGTTGATAATCCCGCCGCACCAAGGTATGCATCTGCACTCTTCGCTAACAACACTGTGCGACATTTCTGCATATCTGCTTCTGCTCATTTATCTCTCAGCTCGTGTTGCTGTATGATCCACACGGAGGGGTTTAAAATAGCGTTTGGACAGCTGATAGCGGCTGTCAGAGCGACACCGGTGCGGAGCAGCTGTTGAGTTAGCCGGCTAGTGGATGCAGTCTGCAGCTTTTGTTTGGCAAAGTTTTAGCAGGAGATGATCATTGGCACATATGACCCCCAACAGCAGGCATCTCACATGTGTCTCGGACAGCCGGAATAACGTCATGACATCTTCAAGTTGTATTTGCCTGATAGAAAAATGGGAAACAGATTACATTAAATTATTTATCTTAAGATTGCTGAAGTCATTTGACAGAAAGCTTTCTTATTTGGTGTGACCACCAGTAGTGTCCAACAAAGTCTTAAGTTTTACAGACAAGTAATTTATGTATTAACAATTGGTCTTTGGTATTACTTAAGTTTTTTGATGGTTTATCTTCTTTGGTTTTCTGGCTGCCTTTTGAGGTTTCTGAGGTCAATTCTCTTCTTTAATGTTTCCATGTTAAATCCACATTTTGTAATTTCACACCTATCTACTTCCACTCTGTCTCTGATAACTAATAATTTCTAATGTACTTTCACAACTAACAAATGCTGTTCGTTTTTCATCGTCACAATGTCCCCACCTAATCTCAATCAACCTAATGATCTTGGTCACATCAATAAATATCTGTTACTGGCATAAACGACACATTATTATTTAAGTCTTTAAAAAAATAGCATCCATGCAGCTCTTTGTGATTATGATATTGCACATTAATATTCAGCAAACAGTTGTGGTTTCATATATAGTGCAACTCTAATAGTTGAAATATATTTTCTAATAATTATGAAGAAAATACTCATGGGGCAACATTGCAATGCTTGGATGTGTGATGTTTAGTTTCTAATGAAGACAACCTGCGTCTATAGTTTTTATGGTTTCTGTTTTTACATTCAAGAGAAGCAGAGGAAGCAAATCGTCTGTAATAGCAAAACATTACAGACAATTTGCAACTTCAGTCCCAGAATGCCTCTGTCCTGCAGTTTTTGGATGCGTCCCTGCTCCAACACACCTGATTCAAATGAATTGTTAATGACTAGGCCTTTGCGAAAGCTGCTGATATACCAAGGAGGTAATTCAGCTTTTTGAATGACCTCGCTACATGCATGTTGAGTCTACACATATCTAGACTCAACATCAGTTCAGGAATTTTATGCCCCAATGACTCACATGGCTTCATAAAAAAAAAATTCAGCCATTAATGTCAATAGAAAACATTTCATCCATACTCAGAAAAACCTAGGTACAATTTCATACAGTATATGATTGGCGGGTTAATTGGTTGTGTGACATTTGTCCCATTTTGGAAGAGGAGTTTGCAAAGCACTGTAATTGTGAGCCAAATGTTGGTTTGGTGTCAGTTGACATTTTTATTTAAGCCGGAGGTTTTATAACGTGACTTTATCATTATATAAACAATGTGAGGTTGTAAAGTCAAAACTCATCAGACAGTGGTAATAACTTTTATTAGTGTGCAAATATTTTACATTTAGACTGCTTGAGGTCACTTCTAAAGCAAGCTGGGAAAATGTGACACTGTGAGCCAAGAGATGAGAATAAGCTGAAAGAACTAAATTACTTTAATTATTCCTTTCTAATAAATGTGGACAATTTATTAGAAAGGTTACAGTTCTTTGATACAGCAGCCCCTCAGTAAGAAATTGTATCCGCATAATTTTTTTTAAATAACATTTAATGATTCTTCAGTAGAGAAACTCCCGTATGTGCTGCTTGAAAAACGAGACTGCAACTGCTTAAAAGTTTTGATGTAGCAGATTTCATGCAAATGAGTGGTGATGTGTTTGAGAATTTTTGATTAATTTTTTTTTATGTAAAATTTATTTTTGATGATTTTTCCCAATTTGTTGTACTTATTTTATTCCAGATGTTTCTACATTTTATTTTTAGTTTTTCATTCTGTTTTTGAAAGCAGAGGCCAGTAGAGAGGTCTGGCTTCTGTAGCATTTTTTTCAGAATTAATTTTAAAGACCGTAAATTTCTAAAAATAATTTCTTTTAAAAAAGAGCTGTGTTTAAATACCGAGTCCTGCATTTCTTTTCCTTGCTCAGAAGAAAGGCAGAAAGTTTTTGATTGGCCAAAAGGTTTAGTCTGTAGTCTTATCTTAACCTTTAAATTCCTGTCTTTTTCTGTGATTTTTATTTTGCGCCATACTTCAAAGGATCCATGACCTAGCTGTGATTACGTTCAGATTTGACAGATTTATTATTAGTGATCCACTGTCCAGTTTAAACAGTTGTATGTTGACGTGGCTCTAAAGTCATTTTAGCTCCAGCCATGTTGTGCAATAATGTCCTTTAGCCTGGTGGTTTGTTTTTAGCACTCACATGCTTTGTGGTGACTTCATGTCAGGAACTTCGTCCCAAGTTTTGACTGAATAACAGATACTGAAATCAAATTTCTGGTAAATATTTAAGTATTAAGTCTGTTTTAATAGGGATTTTTTAGAGGAATACTAACATTTGGTTTTAGGTGAAGTGTGGAAAAGTGGCCACAGCAGAGAATATGATCGGGTCTGTCCAGATCTGGCACCAGCAAACATCAAGTCTATTTTAATCATACTTTTGACTTATTATTCTTATGCTTATTTACTAAATATACATATTCTAGAACTGTTCTATACACAAAAGCTCATCACATTTGTTGGCTTTAACTCCATACAGGGCCCTGATGAAAATGGACTCAGATTTGCTTCATTCCCCGGCTGTGGGGCTGACTGAGGAAGAGGAGGCAGACATGAATGACTGGAAACTTCCTTTGACCTTCATGAAGAAAAGGCACTTGGAGAAGATCGAGGGCTCCAAGGCGTTGGCACAGAGCTGGAGGATGAAAGACAGGGTAAACCTTTAGCTTGTTAATGTCTGCATCGAGCCAGCAGGGCCAGAGAGAGAAGCTGTTTTTACTTTTGAAGGTTTCATTTTCATTTTCAGAGAGCAACTCTGAAAATGAGGAATTCACTAACAGATAATGATAATTTACTGGTTTAAACATCTCTGAAACTAAAAGAAACAAACTAATATGCAGATATGGTAGTAGTATTTTCGAAATTCAAATTACATGTTGGGTTTCGTCAGCTACTCAATCTGGAACAATAAACAAAATTTTTTATGATGGATGGAGACAGTGAGACAGTCTGTATTACTGCGATCTTCTTGAAACTTAATCATTTTATCAGTAATTTCCTTCCTCTACTTTGTTGCATGATATTTTTGATTCAGATTTTTATTATGAAACTTTACATAGTATATTAGTTTTAATAACAAAAGTAACGTGGTGCAGGTGGCATGGTGGGTAGAGTCAGAGCACAATGTACTGACACCGTCATCCTCAACCCTCTCACCAGAGTAGGATGACGGCCACAGTGTAACATTGAACTGGCATTGAACTCTCTTGTTAATTCCCTTTAGTTGGATCTGAAGCTTTTTAGCAATATAGATGAATATTAACATTTCATTACCACTGTAACGTATCTTTTAATCATCATCATCATCATATGTCCAAGAAGACATACATACATACATCTACGAGAGATTGTGGTATGGTTTTGAAATAGCCCAGCCAGATTTGAGTCTGACAGAACATGTTGAATGCTAAAATTGAATCAAAATGGGCTTTACTAAAGTATAAGTTGAGTTTTTTGCACAGTTACTGTAAGTCACTTAGATTTTTTTAAAAGAAATTTCAGATTTGTCCTTCATTTGTTTATTTTTCTGTTGATTCTTTCAGAGTAAATGTAACAATGTACTGGGAAAATGTTTTGAAATAGTTTTTTTGTTGTTGTTTTTTACGGAAACTTGGCAGTTTATCAAGGATGAGTAGATTTTTCAGAGCCAGAATTTATAATTGCATGACTAAAATAAGTAAACATTTTTAATTAAATGAGCACCAACCGCAGAGTGAAATCGTGACATGTCGGAACACTTTTATTTCCCTTTTCTCTGTCAGACCTGAAACTGCAATATCAGTCTGCTCTGCAGTAGCAAGGTTCACCTACCTGCGCCTTGGAGGATCACTAATTGCCATGTTCTTTGTTCTTTGCTATGTCTCGGTCTAAAAGCGCTTAGCTTTTGAACTAAGATCGACAGATGCCAATAATACCTTTGGAATTAGCATTTGCAAGGGCGGTGGTGTTATTGTCCAGTCCCACATGTGTTCGTTCCATCAGTTAAATTAAAAGTTTCTGTCTGTGTTTAAACGGATAGCTCTTCTTCACCAGGACACTGGCTCATCATTGTCTTTCTGCTTCGTTACTAAAGTGCTAATTCATTTCATTCTGCTGGAGGCTACCTATCCAGCGTTTTAAAGGTGAAACCTCATAGCTCTCCTTCATGATTTGTCGTTTGATCCACTGCTCAGCTACTAACTCGATTATTGAATTGCCTCTCTGCTACGGGGTGCTACCATTATAATGATGGCAAGTGTCACTTAGTCATACATGGCCCTGAAAACTCTTCACCTATTGTAGAAATTCAGCCGATATGAAAATTTAACACGCGCCTGCTGTTAGGACACGAGCTGAATTAAACGACACGGCACCAGCAGAAGTGTCGAGCTGAGGGAAAATGAAGATATCATTAAATGTGAGGCCGCTATTGATTCAAAAGAGGTAATAAAGGCAGAGGGAAATTGACTTTCCTATCAAAAAGTTATGCTAAATCTACTCTAACATTCTTTTTTTTTTATTGCTCGGGGCACTTTCAGACCACAGACCTGCATTTATTAACCTGTGAGAAGTCGACACATTTCTTGAAAATGTGGGGCTGGGTGCGCAAGAGCTTTTTATGCAAGAGTGATTTGAGTTTGATTTAACGAGTAAATGCAATAAGAGTGCTCTGAAACTTCAGATGTTTGTTTGTTTTTGTTTTTTTTTTTAAAGACGTTTGAGATGTTTTTGAGAGGACACATTTGATAACAGAAAACCTAAATAACGATCAAGGCCAGTGGGTTGTAATTTTCACCTCTTGGTTTTGCTGTTGTGATTCAGGCAAACCTCCCACAAAAAAGTTTTTTGCTTTTTAGAGTTTGGACTCGGTTATCAGGAGAATATGCTTATGCTCTGGCTGATTTGAAATGATGGTTATTATCTGCAAGGGCTACTAAGTCTAGTGAAATGATAAACTAGAACTTAAGCCTGGTGAGAGCAGCGGGCGGCAGAAGGCTTATGAGTGGGCTTTCAGTGATGTTCTGCACTTTGGGAAATCAAAGGTCTCTCAGACACACACAGAAGACGACTCAGAGGTTTTACCATTACTTGCCTCATTGGTCAGTGTTGTCTATATTCCCCTGTTAGGCTTGTAGAAAAACAAACAAACAAAAAAAAAAGCGATTGACTTGGTTGTGAGCTGCTTGTGCAGAAGCATGCCTGTGTGTGCACTTGCTGAACCAGTGAAAGCAATTCTGAGAAGAGTTTTCAGTCAGAAAAGCCGAACACTATCAGTGTTGTGCAACAGAGTCAAAGGTCAGCCCTAATTTCAGCTGAGAGTGCGGGTTTTAATGGAAAATATCAAGTAAATGTTGATGAAGAATCGAACTATGTGTTGGGGATATTTTTTTCAAGTTTAAAAGAAACCAGCATAATGAACTGATCATGTCAACTTTGAATCTGTTTTTTTCTCACAGTAAACATGGCTGAAAGATTTCACATCAAACCAGAAGCATGATTGATCTCAGCTGAAGGTTGTTACAAACTGAGACATTTTGGCTCTTTGTAAGATCACCTGCTACAGTCTAGCAGTCTCTGCTGTGGCGAATGTTTCCATCACTGCCACCGGGTTTCTTTCCTTTGGTCTGCACTGGGCGTTAAAAACAGATGTTGCTTATTTTAATTTGGATGCTCATTTTTGTAGAAGGAGTTTCCGGACATAATACATTTTTCAATATTTAGGCATCAATCAAATCACTTTCTGATTGGTGTGAGACAACTGCATGAGCAAGTTGAAGTCAAGCCACCGCTGTCATGGTTCTGGGTCAACTAGTAAAGTAGAGACAAAACTGAAAAAATGATCATTTTCATCAAAGTGTCAGTTGGTTTCATGTGTTATATAGATGAAGCGCTGTTTGTTTATCCAGATGCTCTTAAGATTTAAGAACGAGATCCTCTAATTAGACGTCTGTTAGCTGCTTATAGTGTGTATTCCCTAGTTAATGTTGACTATTTTTAGATTTACTAAGATTTGAAGAAGGTTGCAAACATTTCCAAATCCACCATGTTCCATGACAGAGGTTTAAAGTATGAGAAAAAAATACCCTAAGCAACCTTGCACTACTGCGCTCAGCCTTCCTGTTATCCGCTCACTCTCTCGGCTGGCGACTGAAGCTCTAAGAGTTTTGGGTAAATAGGCGTCTCGTTGTATGAACAGGCGTTAAGACACCGCCGAATGGCTGCTACAGGAACTCGAGGACTCAACACGACATAAAGCTCAAAAAAGTTGATTTTGCATACTACTCCCCTCTTGAGGCATAAATAATAGTAAGCACAATTAGTTTTGAGGAGAAGAGGAAGCAAACAAGAGGACTGTAACACTGAATTCGTCCACTATCATTGCTTTAGAAAGAATAGGAAGGGGTATCCAACTCACATTTTATGTGTAGTCGTTGATGTCAGCGCTGCACCAAACCTCCTGTGGTCCCACAATGCTGGCTTTATTTATGACGGCGCAAATTGTCTTGAGCTGCCTGAGTGGTGATTTAAGAACGGCCAGAGGCAGCTTTAGCAGGGGCTCATTTTACTCCCGTATCACCAAACTGCTATGAAAGTGTCTGGGTGATGAGCTCCATTCAGCTGTGTGTGCTTGTAGATCCAATTAGATGATTGTCTTTGACACAATACCCATATTCAGTTTTATTTTTGCTTTAGTTACTTATTGATTAAGCTGCTCGTGAATGTAACAATATGCAATTGTTTTTAAAAGGGGTCAAATCAAAGGAATGACTTCAAAATTTCTGTGACGATCTGACCCTGAACAAGAAAAACAACCTTGAAAAAGCATAGATAGCAAAATTAAAGATAAAGAAAGAGGGCTTGTGTGCTTGTGCACACCAGTTGCCTGGCATCACTCTTTCTCTTCAAATTTGAGGAATCTTTCATTTTAAAAGCTAATTTAATTGAGACAGCGAGAAGAAAAAAAAATCATCCATATTGATTTGAAATGCTGCTTTGACTCCATGTTAAGTCTCAGTTTTAATTGTTCTGTCTTGGATTATGCAGACAACACACACACACACACACACTACACGACCTAATTAAATCCGATTGTCACCAAAGGTTTTGGTCGGAAACTATCATCCTTGTCCCTGATGTAATCGGTGGCAATGCGTTACAAAGAAACACATCTTCCCACATTTGAAGTGCAGTCAGTTGCAAAAGGACTTGGGGAGATTGGGGGATCGTCAGTGTGTAAGGCACTAAGACCTGGAACCATTGTTAGACATATGTGTGACCTCCAAGCCCTCAGGCAGCACTGCATGAGAAACCGTCGCACTACCAGAATCAATACCGCCAGAGGGGCCCAACTGTATCTCAGTAAGGCGCTACCTCACTACACAGTCCATCACTGCATCAAGAAATGTAACCTAAACAGAGCTCTGCTCCACATAAGGAGGAGGAAAGCTATTTACCAACACTTCAACAATGAGGTTGCTGCTGGAATCAGAGTGCAGATTAAATTAGAGAAAGACTGAACAGTCATCACAACAGAAAAATGTATGGAAAATAAAGGAGTATCACACATCAGTCTTATATAGAGGTTAATGAGTTTTAAATGTAAAGTTGGTTAGTATATAGTCCCAGTATTTAACCAGATATTTAACTGACTAATACAAGTTGGTTTTTGAACCTG